AGTGTAAAAAGTATTAGGTTGTGTGAAGAAATCATTCCCCTTGTAAACAGTACAGTTTTAAAATGAGATTTCTTTTGTTGTATACGAAAGCAGAAAGTCAGTATAAAACCACATCAACTCTTCATAACTGCTGATCAAATTCACGTAATCGCAACTCATATTAACAATGGCTAGATAATTTACGATAAGCTTAGATCCATTACAACTGCTGAATATGGAGTTTGTTATCTTTAGCTAACCATATCTTCCTACTATTCTAAGAGGTCTTTCACATTACTGACTATAGTTTAATTTGAATGGTATTTGACCTGCTTCTTGGATTGTCTGGAGGGTTCTCATACATCCTGTAGTGTTTGGCGTTCTATCAAGGTTTTTCTTGTTTATATGTTTATCTATTTACACCTTTAGACATATTTTTTGTTTGTTTATATAAATGTAGACATAAATATTTATGTTGTTTAGCTCACACTTGCATTCCAACTCTTTTTTAATAGCTATTGTCTACCGATAAGTATTTGACAGAGAACATATATTTTTAAAAGCTATTGCCAACCTCGAAATCATGATATGTTGTTTTAGGCTCACTCACCCCTGTTGCTATTTCATGCTATTAATTCGCAAAATAATTGTTAATAAACATATCAAACAAATTTACAAATGAATATTGAAATATAAAGCGTTCTATCTTTTGCGATATGAAATAGAAGTGTTTCGTTTTTTATGCAGGGATGGGTTACATTGAAATCACTGGAACCCATATTTTAAGTTGCCGAAAGTAGCCTTGAGTTATGATGGGGCATTCGTCCTTCAAATTTGCAAAATCTTACGATGCAAAAACTGCAACTTATATGATTTGTGATGGTCATCTTCTTCTGGAGATCTCTTATTTGTACTCATAAACCCTACCCAAGTTTCATCCTTGGTTTCTCTTTCCAGACTCGATCTCTCCTACCTTACAAAGAGCAACCCACCAACCTGGAACGCGACTCACTCTTTCATCCTCTCGAACCCATTGTTATGTCTACTAGAAAAATGCAGATCAATGACTCAAATGAAACAACTCCAGACGCAAATGATCATAACGGGATTAATCTCAGATGGATTAGCTGCAAGTCGATTAGTTGCCTTTTGTGCCATTTCAGAATCAAGAAATCTTGATTATTGTAAAAGAATATTGAACAATTTACAGAACCCAACGGTGTTCTCATGGAATGTAACAATTAGGGGTTACAGTGAGAGCGAAAACCCCGAAGAAAGTTTTCTGTTGTATAGGGAGATGTTGAGAACGAGCAAAGGATTACGACCAGATAATTATGCATACCCCTTGTTGCTCAAGTGTTGTTCAAAATTGTCTTTGGTTCAGGTGGGTTTGGGGGTTATTGCACATGTTATTCATTTGGGTTTCGAATCTGATGTGTATGTGAATAATGCCGTTATCCATGTGTTGGTGTCATGTGGAGAATTAGACGAGGCACACAAAGTGTTCGAATAAAGCTGTCTGCGAGATTTGGTGTCTTGGAATTCAATTATTAATGGATATGATAGGAGTGGGAGGCCGTGGAAGACCTTGAGATTGTACGGGCAGATGGAGCAGGAGGGGGTTAAGCCAGATGAAGTTATTATGATAGGGATGATATCTTCTTGTGCTCAGCTGGAAAACTTGAATCGTGGGATGAAATTCCATCGATATGTTGAAGAAAATCGAATAAAGATGATGGTTCCACTTAGTAATGCCTTAATGGACATGTATGTAATGTGTGGGAATATGGACGCTGCAAAGAGCTCATTCGACAAGATGGCTAAGAAAACAATCGTGTCTTGGACCACCATGATCGTTGGTTATGGTAAACACGGCTGTATGGATGATGCAAAGAAATTGGTCATTGAAGGTTTTGAAGATGTAGACATCAGTTCATTTTACTACTCTTTAGGATAAAGGTCAGGTTACATACATTGGTTCTTTATATTAGACATCAACCAAGATTTGAAGTTCTTGATGGTCCAAAATCCAAATGGTAAATTGTATTCTCCTGTAACTTTCTAGCGATGGGTAGTATGGTGGATAAAGACAAGGAAGATAAAATTAAACTGTGTTTGAATCCTACCAATCTGCCATCTACATATACACTTGTGGTCACTAGAAGATTGACCTCAGGGCTGTGAGCAAAGCTTACATCAGATCAGACTACCCGTTTCCGAAAAAGCATTCTCTTGCTTAATTCCATTATCTTTATTTTACTTATTTGTGAATCTTAATCATTATGGAGTTTTGATGGAATGTTGAGTATTGGTTATGGTTTACAAAGTTTCATGTATTGTATTGTTATTAAAATGGAGACACGTGTGCTGCTCTCATTTGTCACCCGATTTCCAATAGTAATCAAGTTTACAACTGAACTTCCCTCTATAATTATATTAATTAAAAATTTATAGTTGATTTTAATAAAATCAACTAAGGGGCCGTTTACCCAAATACTTATCCTGTAAATGCTTATTGGTAGGAGTCAACACTATAATCTATTTTACCAGATAAGATTGTAGTATATTAAAACGGTATCTTATATTCGTATGCAACAATTTACAAGGTAAATGTTTACTTGGGTAAAAGTCCTCACTATCACTTACCGGGTAAGATTCTCTATCCTTATCATCGCTCTTATCGGGTAAGATTTTCAGCTCTTGCCATGTGCATCGGGTGAGGAAAGTTATCGATCCACATTTATCGGGTAAGTATTTAGTAAACGGCCCCTAAAATTCTCAATTCTAAAAGTAAAATAATTTGAAAAAAAATAATTTAAATCTTTCAAGTATTACTAATTATTTATGTTACGAATTTAACTTTAATATTCAAAAGAATTATTTTATTTAAGAAAAAGTTAAAGTATAATTATTTGAAAACAAAATGTGGGATTATTGAATGTTGTTATATGTATCTATATAAAGAGATATGGATGTTATATAACCCTTTACATTTGTATAATTCAATCTTAATCGTCCATTTAATTTGATGAATATGTGATTTCATAAAAGTTTTGATTATTTCTTAATATAAAGTATTGATCATAATTAATGAACCTTAGTCATCTTCCATAAATATTCAAATCATAATAAATAAACTCTCATCATTTTCATAAATATCTCAATTGATTGGGTTGCATTAGTTGTACAAATGTGATGGATTGCATTTGAAACGTTCTCTCTCTATATATATTCTTAAATAACAGTATTTTATAATCAATTTACCAATCAAACAAACATATTATTAATTATGGTAAGTTAAGAGAATAATTGATGGATTTGATTGCTCATAATTATTATATAAATACATATTTGTATCAAAAGAGATGTATTATTAATATCAATAATTTCTTTGGATTAATTATATACATTATTGAAACAAATTCGACCACATGCTTCCTACATACTTTCAATACAATTTCATATCTACAGTAAGTGATTTCAGAGACAACAAATAAATCACCACATTACTTATTTTAATAAAATAGTTAAAATTTATTGGTTTGTTTTATGCTATTTTATTAATATGTATTATTAAACATTGCAAGTTTGTTTTACGCCACGATAAATATGAACCTTTCAAGATGCCCTATTCCACAGACAAGAACAAAATGGCCACCCATGGTGTTGGTGGCAATTTTATTCGTAATTGGCACCAATATAACAAGAACAAACAGTTGTAAACAATGTAGGTACATATACCAACAAACAAGAAGGAAATATAGACCAGTATGTATGTGTAACCCTCTCCGACTTTCAAATGAACACCACCACCTTTACATATCATGAAATCAACAAAGGGGAAAAAAGCATGTCTTCCATAATGGTTGAGAAGTAAAGCGCCACATGCCATCCAAAATCCAATATCAAAACCAATGTAAAACCATCTTTGAAGTTCATATGCCTCTTCCTCACCACCTTCACCTTTAATAGCTGGTACTTCATCTCCGGGACAAATTTTGGGAATCAGAGCACTTGTCGATGACACCATTAGCATCTGTGTCTACTACCAAATTGGGTGCCAAGAGAAGCATCAACAATTGTATTCTCAAGGCATACTTGTTTTGAAATTGGGGTGTTACATTAATTAAGCTTCCATGGACACGAATGAAGATTCCTTCGACATCTCTCAAGTCAACACATCACAGGGGAAATGCGTTTGTTTTAGAACCAGTTCCAAAATTAGCTTTTAAGACTTGTAGGTAGGTCTTGTCAATTTGTAATACTTATTTTCATGCTACTAATCATATTTTCTACCATTTGTCAACCCGTTTGTCTTGTGATAGCTCTATAGCATGCTTCAATCTAGAGCTATTTGTGTCTACGATCTTATTCGTAGATTTGTAAGCTTCCATGGATACAACTTCTACGGTCCTATGTCAACGCATGAATCGGACAACACGCATTTGGGTTTTGCCAGATGGTAATTGGTTTGCCAGCAGCATCGATGCTTCTATACTGCCATGAACGCTGGATTCAAGTCAATTAAACAGCTTTAGGTGGCTTTTCATTTGAATATTGCTTTCATTGATTAACTGGTTGAAGGAACTAATGTTTCTATTTAACAATATTAGCACTGTTGTATATATAAAAGTGAAGAATTGAAATAAACGGTGCAAAAAATTCTTGATAATTTGTATATATTGGATTATCTTGTGATACTGAAATGAACAACACAAACAACGAATTTGTATTCATCGTGTCAATAAATTAATTAAGGTCTTAATTTCGGTCGTGCTTCAATCAAGGAGCTAGTTGGGCATGCAATAGAAAGCTTAATGGGTGTCCTCACACAACAAGGGAATGGCCACCCATGGTGTTGGTGGCAATTTTATTCATCATTGGGACTTAAAACCCCTACCAAATACAAGTAATCTATATTTAGCACCAAAACAAGAACAACGATAATCGACAAGTTAAAAAGAAGAAAATATAGACCACATGCGCAATTTTCGAATGAACACCACCCCCTTTATGTAAACCTAATCTTTCAAGCTATCAACAAAGTGGAAAAAAACACGTCTCCCGTGACGGTTGAGAAGTAAAGCACCACATACTATACAAAATCCAGTAGCAAATCCGGTGCACCCACCAATGTAAAACCATCTTTCAAGTTCATTTATGCCTTCCTCACCACAATTACGTTCACTAACAATGCCACAACTTTTTGCAAGGGGAGGTCCACATAATCCTGCATTTCCGTTGTACCTTGAAGGTTCAAAGGACTGGAGTTGAGTGCTAGATGGAATTCTCCCAGACAACTTATTATATGACACGTCTAGGTAACTTAACAAAGTCATGTTAGACATGCTTGATGGCATCCCTCCTGAAATTTTATTTCTAGATAAATCCAAAGTTAAAAGTTCTTTCATGACACCAATTTTTCGTGGAATCTCTCCAAGTAGAGCGTTCTTTGACAAGTTCAGTACAAGCAGTTTATGAAGATCAACTAATTCATTTGGGATTTGTCCCGTTAAGTTGTTGCTTGACAAATCAATGCTCGTCAATAATCCCAGATTATTGGTGAATTCTTGTTCCTTTCCTTGCCACTCGATCATCGCGTTGTCAACATAAGTACCAGTGGAACTCATGTTTACCCCATACATATGAATGTTATATTGCAAGAACCTTCCGTCAACCATGGCACTCAAGTTATTCACGCATGATGGAATGGTTCCGTTGAGGTTGTTGATTGACAAGTCTAGGATTTGAAGGTACATGAGATGACATAGTTGTAAAGGAATGGGTCCGAACAAGTTGTTTGATCTTAGGATAAGACCATACAACCATGTTAAGTTTTCCCCAATCCAAACAGGCACATTACCAGAAATCTTGTTGGCCCCCAAATTCAAAAAACTTAACCATGTGCAATTCTTCAAAGCCATAGGCAATTCTCCTGAAAAGTTGTTGTTGTATAAATCCAATACCTCGAGTTGAATCGAATATCCTATAGAAGCAGGAAGCCTTCCAGAAAGATTGTTGTGTCCTAAATTAAGAACTCTTAGCTCTTTGAAATGCCACAAACAATCAGGAAGTTGCCCGGTTAAAGAGTTGTGGGAGAGGTCAAGAAATGACAAAAACCCGTCAACAATTTGGCACAAGAAGGAGATACCACCATAGAATTTATTTTTGGAAAGATTCAACCATGCCAAAGTGGAAGGAACATTCGGTAGTGGCCCATAGAAGTTGTTGGAACTCAAATCTATCATTGCCATGGGGACAAAATTTGATGATAAATCTGAAATGTTCCCGTTGAAGTTGTTGGAAGAGAGATTCAAATATGTCAATTGTGAAGGCCATGTCTTCCAAAACTCGACCGGAATTGTACCCGAAATTTTGTTATTGGAGATATCAAGATGGGTAAGATTTTTGTGTGTTTGAATCCATTTGGGGAAGAAAGGCCCTAGATTGCAAGCACTCAAATCAATATACTCTACATAATAAAGGTTTGAGATATGAGCTTTGGAAGGAATCACTACAAGTGAGTTGTTTGAAAGATCTATATACGAAACCTTTGACTTTCCAATGTTTGGAGTGATAACAAGAGAATTGGAAGAGACATCTAGACCTTGAAGATTGGGTAGTTCCCACACCTTTTCACTCATAGTCCCATTTAAGTGATTATAAGGTAGGTACAAATATTCTAGGGATGAAAACTCTTGGATCTGGTCGGACAGTGACCCTATAAATTGGCTAGAGTCAGCATACAAATCTCGCAATGTACCCGATGTGCATCCAGACAAGTTATTTAGAAAATCTGTAAAATTGACAACTGCAGAGTTCTTATAGAAGTATAACGATGTCAAACTACAGAGATTTCCAAGATATTTGGGTATCCCATCTAACATGTTCCCAGAGAGATSAAGAGAGAGAAGTCTATTGCTTGTTAATAGGAACAACCAACGATACATGGATGAGTTGAGATTGTTACCACTGAGATCCAGAAACTGAATAGATAATGAAAAAGAAGAGTTGACAAATGAAGAATATGGATGCATGACCTCTGAGAGCTCACATCTTTCTAAACTTAAATACGATAGTTCTGGGAGACTTAGAATGACATCTATCCAGTGATTTGCTTTGGCTAGGGAGATAAGTGTCATATCAAGGTGTTGCAAATGAGAAAGATTAGACAACCAATCCAGGGTTTGAATCGTAGATAATCTTTCATAGTTTCCAAGTGAAAGATTTCGCAAGTTTGTGAGGTTTCCAAATTCAGTTGGAATGGTTCCATTGAAAGAATTGTAACGAAGGTCAAGATACCTTAATTGGGTCAAGGAACCAATGGACCTGGGAATGGTTCCATTAAAAGCATTCCAAAAAAGGTCAAGATACCTTAATTGGGTCAAGGAACCAATGGACCTGGGAATGGTTCCATNAATGGACCTGGGAATGGTTCCATTAAAAGCATTCCAAAAAAGGTCAAGATACCTTAATTGGGTCAAGGAACCAATGGACCTGGGAATGGTTCCATGTAAAATATTGAAGGAAAGGTCAAGATGCCTTAATCGAGTCATGGAACCAATGGAGTTTGGAATGCTTCCATTGAAAGAACTATCGGAAAGGTCAAGATACCTTAATTGAGTCATGGAAGCAATGAAGTTAGGAATGGTTCCGTGGAAAGAATTTATGGAAAGGTCAAGATGATTCAAGTAGGTTAAGTTAAGCAATGAAGGGCTAATCTCACCTTCAAGATGATAGGACCGAACGTCAAGCTCTGTTACATGACCTGTATGGTTGTTGCAGGTGATTCCAAACCATTTACAACAATCATCATCTTCTGCAGGTCTCCATGTAGAGAGTTGGCCAAGGGGGTCTTGAAGGGAAGCTTTGAAATGAAGGAGGGCTTGTTTCTCTTTGTGGAAGCATGACTTGTTGATGCCACCATAATTACCATCTGTTGCTGCTGCTGATTGGTTGCCAATAGAAGAACAAGTGGCAAGAATTGTAGTGTTTGGGCATAGCAAGAGCATAATAATAATAATAAGAACAAAGTAAAACCAAATCATGGCTTAATCTATGAAAATTGATGTATATGTATTTAGTGATTTGATTTGTTAAGGAAGTGGTTGTTTTGATGCATCCATGAAGCAATGAAGGTTTATTTATAGAATAGTTTCAAGTGTGAAGGTCTGTATGCTACTTGAGTTACAAGTAGTAGATTTCCAAGACTAAGACTTGGATGCAGGTCTTAATCAATTTGTAATTACTATTACCATGTTACTAATAAATGGACCCAGATAAGTCGATTTGTAATTATTATTTGGGTTATATGTTCAATATATAGTCCAAGTGAATTTGATGCTCAAAGTTAGAACCAATCCCTTAAATTTGACCTGGAACTTTGTCGTCTTCATCTGAAATTCGAATAACAGCCATAATAAAAATCTAAGGAACTTCGATTAATATGTTCGTATCGATCGATTTTAAATGCTAACCTGCTTAGCACCATCTTGTTTACCCTAAATGAAACCTATCCACATTCACCATTATTAAGAGATGGAATAAGCTTCAAATATCCTGGTATTACTTGTTAAACATATAGAAATTATTGTTTGTTTACCTCTTACTAATTCCATTAAGCTGTAGTCTCTGACTTGCTATGAGGTGAGTTTTGTTTGACAAAAAAAATATATCTCTTAATGGTTATAAAACTCTCTGAATGATTTTGTATGTTGGGCCTTCCTTAACCATTCGGCTTCTTAATTTTATTCTGAACAGTTACCAAACAACAATATTTCATTTTGTTTTATATCATAAGAGTATGGTGGCGTTTGTTTTTTAAGAGCCGATGAAGTCTGAAGTTTGATTTCACTTCTGATTTATAAGAGGTAGTCCTGAAGTCTGAAATCTAGATCAGTAAGATTGTTTTTACGTCTGAAATTTGAATCGGTCGTACTATTGCAAAATTATAAAAGATCATAGTTTTTTACAATAGTATAAAAGATGAATAATTTTTGCTAACAAATCTTTTCTAGCCCCAAAATATGAACCATGTGATAGATGACGGATTATGATTAAGAGGTATTAAGAGAAATGTACCCGGTAAGTGCTTGCTGTGGTAAGAGGCGTTGCCCTCACTTACCGGGTAAGACTCTTGGTCCTTGTCTCGGTTTTACCGGGTAAGATTTTTGGTCCTTACCATATTCATCCGGTGAGGTAGTATGACTTGGCAAGGGCTTACCCGGGTAAACGTTTGGTAAACGACACCTTAGTTTCCGTGGAATTTGGAAAAAGAAATACAAGACAAAGGTGAAGAATTTAATAAATGGTCCACAATTAAATGTCCCACGACTCTTAAGTCTTGAAAATTTGTATTTAATGGAGGTTTTTTTTTTTTTGTAATGTTGATAGTTTTTTATTCTCAAATAACGTGAGAATAAATTTAGAAAAGAAACTAATGGGCCCGAATAAAGCAACAATTGATGATAATAGATAGAAGTGACACATACGCAATGAAAAACATATAACTTTGAATTGGACCAAAATTCTCCAGCGGCATACACACGCCTTCTTTTGTGACACTGCACACCTACAATCTTCACACATCTAGGTTTCGTATCATCAACGCCTGAACCATTATTATCAAATGGTTTGTTCTTGATTTTGTTGATGATGAACATTAAGATTTATAATAAATTACCTTAATGAATTTAAAGGCACATAAAGAAGATGAAATTAAGATGAAGATGAACATTTATCGAATCAAATCTTGACGAAATTGCCCCTCGCATGAGGGCTACATGGGGTGGCTAACGGACTTCGAGTTAACAGTGTTAACATGAGGGACGACTAGTATTATGAAAATAAAAGGTTAGGGACCTTCGACGTAGATAATGCGTTTAAGGACCATATCCAAAATTGAGCAAATCACAGGACCTTCCGTGCAATTCACTCTTAAAACAATGTTTTCATAACAACGTAGTTTCCATGGAATTTGGAAAAGAGATATAAGACAAAAGTTGAAGAATTGAATAAATGGTCCACCATTAAAGTGCCACAAGACTCAAGTCTTTAAAATTTGTATTTAGTGTATGTTTTCTTTTTTCCACATTGTTGATAGCTTTTGGTTCTAAAATAACGTAAGAATAAATCTAGAAACATACTAATGGATCCGAATAAAGCAAAACGACTCATGAGACTACATTGAAGTAGAGATGGTCAAATGGGCCCGACCTAGCCTGAGACCAATGGAGTACCAGGACCGGCCTGATTTTCCCAAAATATTATTGTTTTATTATCAATACTCGATATCCAACGACCATATGACCATTTTTCCCATTTTGACTTTTTTTTGTCTGATTTACCCTCTATTCACTATATATAAAGTATATGATATATGAGAGAAGATACCAACTCAAAACAGTTCACAATTCTTGTTATGATTTGTGATTTCAGGTCGTATTCTCGCAAAAAACTTATTTTTTAAGTGTACTTAACTGAACCACTTACATATTTTCAAGTGTATTAGAATAACACTTTTGTATTCTTTAAAATAACTTCGAAAAAAGAATATTATGTAAAAAACGACTTCTTTTTAGAACACATAGGACCGATTTGGGCCCGACTGGACCGGGACCAGTTCTCATAACCAGTTACAAAGTACCTTAGCCGGACCTTGGGTTTTTGGTTGGGACCGGGACTGAGGCAGAGATCAGTTACTCCAGGACCAGTTATGGGAATGGTGTTTGGGACCAATACCGCCGGGCTCGAATCTCTACATAGAAGTGACACAATATAAGGACAAACTATGAAAGACATATAACTTTGAATTGGACCAAAAACTTCTATGACTTTGTAAAAATCTTGAACGTTAATAATATAAAAAAAAAAACAACTCTTATATCGTTATTACTAACTAATTTTATGTTAAACATCATGAATGTTCCGATTGCCACATGGGTATAAATAGTTATAGCTAAGAGTTCAATTTATCTTATGTGAATATCAAATTGTGAAAGTATTTGAACCAAATGAAACTGGATTGATCAATTTCGGTTCAATTCATGGCTTACATCTTTTTTAAATGGTCCAAAATGAAAAAAATCGTAACAACTAGATGATATGATTACGAGTGTTAAAAAAACCAGAAAACTGAGAAATCGAGCCGAATCGTTTAATCTGAAACCAAAAAACCGATAACCGAAAAATTCGAAAATAAAAAAACAAAAGAAAAAAAGAGGTATTCACTGGTCGGTTTCGGTTTTGAACTTTAGGTATTTATTTGTTGTGTAATTGTTTTAAATGTTATATTTCGAAATCTTTTTTATATTGTAAATAATATTTTCTATATATTCGGATAACCGTGAACCGGATCGAGGATAACCGTCTTATTTTGGTTCAGTACAGTTTAGTTCAACCTACAGTTCGATTTTGGTTCAGATAATCAGGTATCCGTCTCTTGTGGTTCGGTTCATATTTTTCTTACCAACCGAACTGAACTGATCCATGTGTGGCCAGATTGGGCCTGGACTTCTATAAAATCGATATGGGCCTGGGCTATGGGCTCTCCTCAATTGAAGTCCCAAACTCAAACGTCCATTCTTTCATCTCTACAGTATTCACGACTCCGACTCCGACTCCGACTTCGACATTGGCAGTTCGGACGACATCGATTCATCAGGCACCAGCGAGGCAGCGACAAACTCCAGCCTCAGTTCGCACGACTTCCAATTCGCAACTCCATAACTCGACCTCGACGCGCTCAATCACGGTGATTACACCAGGTTAGTTGACTATCGATTTCAACTTCCAGCCCTAACTTCTACATAAAGGGTTTGGTATTTTGAAATGCCATTAATCATTCTGGGAAGATTAGAGAAAGTGACTCTGACTTCACCACTTTTTTTCAATAGATATTCCGCATTTTTATGTTCTCAAATGGTATGTAGTGGGGTGAGAATCGAAACTATGGAAAAGAAACCCTTCATTCAAGCAATTCAGGTCACTTGTTACTCATTCTGGTTGGTTATTACCAATTGAGATTTGAGATCCAAGCCAAGAAAACCCTAAATTTTATTGTAAAATGAGATTTCTTTTATTGTATACCGAAAGCAGAAAGTCGGTATAAAACCACATCAACTCTTCATAACTGCTGACCAAATTCACGTAATCGCAATTCATATTAACAATGGCTAGATAATTTACGACAAGCTTAGATCCATTACAACGGCTGAATATGGAGTTTGTCATCTTTAGCTGAACATATCTCCATACTGCTGAATGGTATTTGACCTGCTTCTTAGATTGTCTGGAGGGTTTTCATACATCCATGTAGTGTTTAGCGTTCTATTATAACTAGACTTGTTGTCTGTATAGCGTTTCATAAAACTATCCAAGATGGATTGTAATGGTAAAATGACCAAATTGTCCCTAAAATGTTGTCTAATGTTTTTTAATCATATGATAGTTACGAAACAAATATGTCTAAGTAAACATTAATTTTTTTTTTTTGTATTATAACCATTTATACATAAAAATAATTGATATCATATGTGTAAATTAAGCAATTATACAAATAAATTTTACTAGTAATGGCCAAATCGGCCCGGGACCAGCAAAGGACCGACACGTCTCGAGACCAGTAAGGACCGAATATAAGACCGCCAACCGGGACAAGTTATGTGCACGGCCCGGTTTTTCAAAAAAAATAGCCCTTTTTTTAATTAAAAAAGAACCATTATTTGACCCTTTTTTGCCTTCTAAACCCTTATATATAAGTGTCACGGTTGAAGGATTTACATACCAACTTACAAAAGGCTATTAAAAGAATTCAAGAGACCAGAACTCTTCAAATCAATGCGATATGGGATATGAATACGTGTATTTTCAAATGATTTTATAATGTATTTTTGGAAGACAATGTAATCTATATATATATTAAAGGAGAAACCAAGGTTGATGACTTGGCTTCTCCTAAGGGTTGGAAACTTATTTATCTCTTTTTTCATTCATCCTCCTTTAATCTTTTCTT